TGTACATAAAACAGTTTCGATTTAACAGTTCATATATGTTGCAAAACATTTTTATATTTATAAGATAAAGAGCGCGAGCACTTTTTATATGTTTAAGAACTATCTAACAAATACTTTACGAATTAAATAAATTTTATAAATTAGATAAATATTATAAAATTGGAAATTGCAACTATCTTAAAGTAAAATCTGACAAATATATAACATTAAATTCCCCAAAATATTCAAAAAAATTAACTGTAAAGCTTTGAATAAGGCATCAAGCCAATTTCTGCGTATTTTATTATACTCTAGTAAAATTTTGTTTCCGTTATCGATGTTTTGTTTATGCGCGCCGTCATCGATTCGCTTAATTTCTCAGTCGAAAGAATTCAGGTATAAACGTAAAGCACTTACAAATGGATTCCATGTGTATTGACTCATCAATTTCAATAAAAAAATTTTTTTATGAATAGTTATATCAAATAAAATGTTCATGCAAAATTATTTCATACTTTTTCTTACATTTTTCGGAATATACAAAACAAAAATTGTATAAAAATGTGCACGTGGGTCTATAATTACCACAAAAAAATTTTAATCGAGATCGATGAATTCACGTAGAATCTTTTCAATATAAACTCCACGGCCAATGACTTATAAATTAAAAAAATTTAAGTTTAAATTTGTATAAAAAACTTAAATTTAAACATTTTTCCATCGAGTTGAAAGTAAAGAAAAAAGACCGTCTTCATCTTAACACATCTAAAAATGATACTGTTATTATCGCGCGATATAGCATGTGCAGAATAAGCAAACACATAGCAAGAAGAATCGATGCAACGGACGGTAAAACCGACGTTAAACGAAGATTCGTGTCGCTGTTTGCGCGACGGTCAGGGTGGAAAATCGATCTAGAGTCCTGTTTGCCCGTTAACGCCGGACGTGACATTAAATGCAGATGCAAAGTTCACAGAGCCGTTTACTGACAATATAGGTATATCGATGGCGGCCATAACGCCCATAAATCACATAGGCATTACGATAGTCCATGTTCGATCGCTAGACGTGTAATATGCAGGGCGTGAATGACTTCATATTACCTACAATATGGCAGGAGGTCAAAAAAGATTCTCTTCTTGGAGCGGCAAAAACTTTTACCAGGTATAACACAATCGCGATTAATCTGACATTCGTATTATATCGCAAATTTTGCTTTCTGCATAATGTAATATCAATATCCAAAATATATGATCCGCACAAAATTAATAGTGACTACCTTTCATTTCCTCAGACTTTCACATTGATAAAATTTTAGATAAGAATTGAATACGATTTCATGTATTATCATCTGTTATCATCGGTTCGTTACCGCTATTTCATATATAGTGAGAATAATTACGGAAAGTCGCAATACATGGAATACGTAATGAACAATTGTAAAACGTCGCGAATCATGGAAATAAGCAGAATAGTGCCAGCGATTCGTTGAATAGTCATACTTCCATTATTCCTTCTCGACCTTGTTAGTTCTTCTAATCTCTAAGAACAATTCGGAATTTGTAATTCTTAGATTTAATTAATCTTATGAGGCTCATGGTTCGCATTTTTCACAGCAGTAAAATCTACAAAGATTTCTCTAAGGAAAAAATTTTTCGGAAAAGAAAAAGAATGTGTGTATCAAACTGTGCAAAAAGACTTGATTTCCAAAATCTTACTCAATAACATTGGAATACCCTATATGATGCTTAAGATTTTACTATGATGTACGAGATGCATCGCGCAACATGAGGTCCCGAAAGCGTTACGAGAAGGAACAATATAAAAGTTCCAACGTCGATAAGGCGCAGGAAAGAAACCTGACGAAAGATCTATCGCTGTCCGAGAGCTAGAATCAGAACAAACGTGTCCATGCATATGTAGATGCGGCTGCATCTGCAATGCAGATCTACGCGGCATCGGCGAACCGACCTTCGCGAAATCAAACGATCCAAAACTTTGTAATTCCGCATAAAACAATTTAAAAAATTATAAAACGAATTGAAATTGAAAAGAGAGAGAGCACAAAAAGACAAAGTATTGCTTGTAATATGTAAATTAAAATAAAAATATTAATCCTGAATGAAATCCGAAAATAATCAAATTTTTTATTTCATTTATAATATAATTATCAATTTTCATTTATAAACTACTATTCACTACATAACTATCTTGCAACCATTAAAAATACACTTGTTTATGATTTTTATAAATATAGATAAAAATTGCATTAATACAGTATTTTCAAAAATTCGTTTTTATATAATTAAAAAATCTCTGAAAAGATTCTCAATCAAAATAAATTTCTGTAATATAAAGCAAAATATAATAAATTATGTATAGATAAAATAATAATATTTAAAAAGAATAAAATCGTTAATCTTCTCTTCTTTTAATAAGTTTAATCGTGTGTAAGTTAATTCTTAACTTTCAAGAATTTGCTTCCTAAAAAAATTTCGCTCAACAGTATAATTTCGCACAAGTCAGAAGGAATTATGTCATTCGATTTATAACTGCGACCTAAATCCTTTTTATTTGTAACATGGTGTATTTTCGCGAAATCAAGCGTACAGAAAAGATTTAAGAGATCGCAACTGACTTTCTTTTTCGGCTAGCCATGATGCCATCTTTCTTGTTCGCGAGATCCATCCAAACACGTCGTCGATGTGTGCTTAAATCGTCCCAAGCGTATCGGCGCGAGCAAAGTAGACACATAAACGTACACGTGTGGAAATAAATCGTTCGTTCGTGTACGCGTGAGAGAGATTTAAAAGATCACTTTCGCCTTTCAGAATAAATCTCACTCGCACATTCGTTCGCGAGTTCTCGTAAAAATATCGCGCGAAGGATGATATTCCGCCTGAGAGACTACAAGTAGACGCAGCGTCTCACGCGAAAATCGAAGCGATGATCTTTTTCCTTCTCTATCTTTCGAAACAAAGCGAATTCGGGCGGAATTCTTTTTATGGATCGATCGATACGCTGCCGAAATGTCGATGCTAAAAATGGTAATCGTGTCACGGGAGCGAAGCAAATGTGTGAGAATAACCGTCCGTGTTTATTCATGATACTATAAAACAATTTCTAAGAAATCATGAAAAAGATCTGCTTCTCATATTTAAAAAAAAAATTAAATTATTCAAATGATTGTTATATTATATATAGTATGTAAAATTTCTTTAATATAATTGCGATTCCATTATGAAGAACATTTGATTGTCGAAACTGTAAATTAATAAAAAAATTATAGATTTGTATTTTATATATTTTCCGTATATTATAATAACTACAATAATAAATTGTTTTATTAAATTTTAATCGGAAATACATAATTCAATCTTTTCTCAATTTCGTGATGAATGCAGGGCTTTCGAGGAGAATCGCGCAAAGATAAAAGAGTAAAAAGAAATGTAAATTTTTCAAAGTAATTTTTCCCAATGATATCAGTTTGTGAAACGATGAGGTTTGGTTAAATAGTCGTAACTGTGCCACGGGAACAAAGTTACAGACTACACGTAGGTGAAAATAAATCATCCGACTTGTGAAAACGACGATGCGAAACGAGCTAACGTGTCATCGACTGCGACCCGAGTGGAACCCGCCACTTCCTCCCTATAATGGAAGAAATATCTTCGAAACGTCGATATTAGGGGGATACGAAAATGGCGACGGGAGAGTTCCTCGCCTTCGAGAATGTCGATCGCAATTTATATACTCGGTCCGTAGCTAGTCATCTTTGATATTGTTGTATAAAGGTCAACTCATGTAAGTTGTGCAAATTCTTACTAGGCTGATACTTTTGATATTATTCTAAAATAAAAAATCAGGCGAAGCTAATAATTAACTGGCATTGCAAACTGCTATATGTTTATTATAAATACAGATTGCAGTCCGTTTTGAATTTTAATATATGTAAATGCTCTAATATTTACTGTACAGAAAGAGAAAAAGTAGCAGAGATCTTCAATCTTATTATTATATAATCTTGATCAATAATGATAAAATACGTTACGCGGCACAAATTTAATATGAATATTTTATATTAGACAATTATAGATTATATATTTTATAATATCCACATTTATACTGCAATTTGTACGAGATAAACATTAGCATCAATTCTCTTTTATTGAATTCCATTCCTGTTTTGGGACACAGTAATAAAAGCTCTGGCGCTCTGCCTTGTTAGCGACTTTGTTATAAAGCGGCCCTGAGCCAGCAAAGAGAGTTTTTAGTCCGAAGACAACATCCAGAAGTATCGATATCTAGAATATACCAGAATAAAGTATACGCTTCTCGATGGTGTGAATAGTAACACAGCTATTTGTAGACTCGCGTCGTACACATGAGAAGAAAACGATAACGTTTTGAGAAATGCTATACGTAAAATTACTATATATAAATACGCCAAGATATTGTAAGATTAATAATTTCATACAAAAGTTAAATCTATATATATATATAAGCATGAATGTTACTCTAAGTCCTAGAAGTTCTAGATAATCTGCGAAAATCTTGAATTTCGATATTTCTTTGAACTCATTTCCATGGTAGACATTTAGGTATTATCGAAATTATATATAGAGTGTTCCTATATATAAAGTTTGAAATTGGACATGAGTACTACTAAAATTCAAACTTTTGATAGTAACTTTATCTATCACGGTAATTCGGATTTATGACTGCTAAAACCGGTCTAGCATACTATCTTCTGCTCTCTTTATAGATTGTTCTTTTTTTAGATTATTGTTTAATGGAATTGATTAATTTGCTATAACATCAACGGTATATAATGCGCAGTTTAATTAAAAGAATGCAATATATATATATATAACAAACGTAATTAATACAAAATGTATAAAAAAAAAGGAATATATGATCGCAATATAAAATTTATTTAAAATTTATTAATAAATTAGATTATAGGGAAATTTCTTAAAATTACGTATATACAAATTAAAAGATGTCTAAAGTACACTCACCCTCTGCGCCTTTCGTTTGTCAGCACGTTGATTTTGATGATATATTCTGCTGAAGTTACTGACGATAACAGGTACCGGTAAAGCGATCACTAGGACACCGCTCAAGGAGCATACACCCCCGACGATTTTCCCCGCAATCGTTTTCGGAACCATGTCACCGTAGCTGAAACAGACAAAAAAAAAATATTTTTGAACCAATTGCTCCATAATATATGTAACATATTAATTCGCAAATTTTGAATATCATTACTGAAATTTATACATATTTTTAATTACTTATTCTTCCAATAATATATATTTTTTCCTGAATATTAGAACATATAGAAAATCATATTTTGATAAAAACCGAGTATTCTAACATTTTAAGATACAACTATGTTAAAGTTTATAAATCGTTCAATTAACAAAATTACAGAATTTAAAAGTCATTAAATTTATAAATTCTAAAAAACGAGGATCCTAAATTTGAATTTATATTATAACATTCAGAAAAATCTAGAAAAATTTCTTGAAATTAAAGTGTATTTCTATGTATAATTTCAAGCAAATACCATACATCGCATAACAGAAAGATTTTTAAACTCGTTCAATCTTATTCATTTATCATGTATAAATTCCAAGCAAATGTTATGCTTCGCGTAAGAGAAGAATTTTCAAACTCGTAATCTCATTTATCTTGAGATATTATACCTAGTTCCCAACAAACAGACCGCTTCACGCAACAGAGATACATTCGCGAAACATTGTTACGGGCATTGTTAGCAACACAAAACGGCGACAGCTTAACCAAACGATCCGGCCAAATGTTCAGAAGGTATGATGAAATTATGTATAACCAACGTTATTGCCCGCGGGGTTAGGAGGACTCGCATCGCAGCGAGAGAAATGGGAGAATGTGGATAATTCACGGCGTGGTTGTGAAGAATTCAACCGTAAAAGGTACGGTCCGTCCTCATTTCTCAAGCGTGCGAATGTCCGCCCGTAAAACTTTTCCACGGTTACACGTGACTCGCTACATAGCTGACCCACAAGGTTTCTAACAGTCTAGCAGTCTAGCTCCATTTACATATTTACCGTATATCGGATAGCGTAAACACACGGTCGAACAAATACAGCGAGCCTGTAGCTATCTGTTTAACTTGTTCTCATGACGAGTTTGCGACGTACTTGAACATTTGCATTCCGCTGGGATTGCGGCGACGATACGAAATGTGAGCTTTTTTCTGAAGAGTAGAATGCTTATATTTTTCTGTTGTCTTTTCCACATTAGTGAAAATTTTATTAAGCGGATCATATAAACATCACTGTAATTAAAATATATAATCATAAAATTGAAATATCTTTCGAAATTTGATAGAAATAAAAATTGAATGTTTGAAAAAAAAGTTATATCATCAGCCAACTAACGTAAAATATTATTCTAAATCGTATACGGATAAGCAATAGCGTATATATTTATCAGATAAAAGTAAAAGAACTCTTTATTTCTCTCGTTCCAATCTATCGCAAATCTCTCATTTAGATTGTAGCTCTATATCTAAAGAGATATAAACACTGTGTTTTGAGTTATTCCGTGCAAACTTGCTGACGAGTAATATTGAACATCTTTTCGTTCTTCAATAATTCCTCATACGCAAAATATTTCTGACATTTCGAAAGATCTCATCTTTTTACACTGATTCTCATGTATTTCATAATTTATTTTATGCATTTCCCGTTTCAGAATTTTCTACTAATTTTATCTTATCGCAACATATATTTTTGCAACTTGCAGATGCGATAAATGCTAACGTGCAAGTTTAAGAAATAATACGATAAAGCAAAGAATTGAGTTTTAAAACTTGAAATTTCAAGATTTACAGAATTTACCGGAACCAAAATTAATCGAATGATTCACAGATAAAACAAATAGTTATATAAACATCCTATTATATGTCAAATTTAACTTTAAAAGTTTTATATATTTATACCTAAAATCTTATGAGATATATTATATCTCATAAATAAAGAGTTCTTTTTATCTTAAATTTGACATATAATAGGATGTTTATATAACTATTTATCTGTGAATCCTTCGTTCTATCTCGATTATTCAAAAATTCCGGAACGAAAAAGAATGTCGGTGCTTGACTTCCTACGAAAATTGATATGAAGAGAGAATTATATTAATATTAAGGACACAGAAACAACATTATACTGTGCACAATGGCAATCGTTTATTCTGCCGACATGCTTTACTCGAAAGATCAAACGATGGCTGGAGCACGAAAAAGGGAGAGCGCCGATGGAGCCGAGGATAAAATGAAGTGTAATGGATCGCACTCGACAGCTACAGATCGTTCCTTTTCCCAGCGAATTTCTCGGGTCGCACGCAATTTTGGGTTGTGACGGAGCAAAAGTAAAGGAAAGCTTCTGCAAACGACGTGACACGCGCTTGTAGAAAAAAATATTCTCGCTAAAAATGATCGATTGCTCAATATTCTGCGTGATATTGTCACAAAAAATCTGCAATTTATTATGTCTTATATTATTAGAAAAGAAATATATAAGCTTAAAATCCTGATAGTAAAATGATTGTTAACCCAATTTCACTAGAAAATTTAATATCCTTAAATTTTAAATTATATAAACTTTATAAATATAAAATTCCTAATTATTTGCTACAAAAAAAAGATACAAAAATTCAAATTTTAAAATTTTAAATTTGATAAACTCTATTAATTTTTTTTATAAAATTTGCTTCAAAAAAATTACATTTTGCTATTTCCAACAGACTAAAAAATATAGATAAAAATATTAAATATTTTCCAAGTTCTCAAACACTTATGTGTGAATCAGATTGAATAAATATACGAGCACAACTCGCAGTATGGCTGTTTTTATTGCCAGTTTTACGTAAGTAACTTTCCATAATGCACAATTAATTTTATATTATATTATTTTGCCAACTATTCTATTTTATAAACAAATCTGTTTTTCTGTTGCATATATAATCGATACCCGTCTCTATCAGAAATACAAAAAAGAGTGAAAGTCGACCCGAAATTGCAGGTTACAAACTTTCGCCCGAACTCAGTTTTCTCGGTAGGCAATAATTTTTCCGCACCCTATGGTCTCCCGGGCCCATTCCTCGACCCTGATTTACGTTTCCCACGGACTTTTATAGCGACCATGAAACTCGTCCTGGCGGGATCTCACCTGATGCTCGCCTTCTCGTATTTCGCGCACGTGATATTACACGTGATGTTATCGATCTTTCTCCTTTTTCACGCCTTTTATTTATTTAACAAATCTTTCATGCCAATTACTATTGAACTATCAGAATTTTTTATTCTTTTCTTGGCTATAGAAAATATATCTTTCACACGAATAAATATACTTTTCAGTGTAAATAAGTTAGAAAAATAATACACATATTAAAACTAATAAATATATTAATAGAGAATCTAATAATAAAAATACTGTTATTCGACAGAAAATAATAAATATTAAATGTGTATTAAAAATAATTAATATATTAATTGATTCTAATACTGCATTAAAAAAGAAAGATAATATCAGACTGAATATTCTGAAATGATAAGAAATTCTGTATGATAAGAAATAATAATATAATAAACTCATTATAAAAAAAATATAAAAATATGTACATAACAATTAATGTTTTAATGCAAATCTTTTATTTTTACACGATATATAGAGAAAATAATTTAAAATAAAAATTCACTTTAGAAATTAAAATTCACTTCAGAAATTAAATTTATTTAATTGCATAAATTATAATAAACATCTCATGATTCAAGATTCTTTTTGATCTTAAAAAAAATTAAAAATGAATAATAGGTATATATTTTTACATCATTTCTATGTATATACATTTGTAGAATATAAAACTGCTTTCTTATTTTGTTCTATAATTATAGTACACGATTAAAATAAGCAAATATCAAATGTAGGGGATTAGAAGTGGTAGGGCGCACGAGTTCAAGGCAAACGTTGTCGAGTCGAGCCGATGCAAACTGACTTTTTACTTGTCAATGTAGCCGGGACACGCGACGGTAGCGAGTTTAGAACCGGCGAAAACGTAGGATTAGTGATCTATATTTAGACAAGCACGCCTTGGGCGGTCGCCCGAGCAACTACCTGGGCTTACCAAGTCGAATTTGCAGTTAAATCATAAATAACCATTGTCAAAATAAATAAAGAAGACTTAATATACCTTAATATACTTAATACACTTTTAGAAATTATATATAAAATTAATCTATATTAATTTTAATTAATTAAGATTAATGCGCAAGTCGAGTTTATTAATTTCTCTAGGTTTTCTAATACACGTATATTAAAGATTTTTGGACGTAATACATGAGAGAAGCTTCAATTTCTTCCTTTGACATGATTAAAAGAATATAATATGCGATCAATTTAAACAATTTTTTACTTTTTCGAGCAATTTAAAAAGTGGTTTCTTTAATAAAAATTTCTAAGATTTATTTATGACATCTATTATCAAATAAATAAATAAAAACAATATCCTATTATCTATTTTTCTACAATTTAATTTATATAAATATTAAAATTCATATTTATATAAAGATTAAAATTCTCCTATTTCTCTATTTATATTCCCAAAGCTTATTGTTTATGAGAATAAATTTACAATCATCTCCACGATATTATTATTTAGGAAAGCTCGCGAATCCAAATCGGCCAAGAAATCTAAAGATAAAACAAAAACCGGAGAATCTATTTTATCTAATAACTTTTATCACATTTAAAATTAACGCAAACTTTAATAAGTGCGATAGAACTTGTCTACAAACTTTCATGGAATTTTTTGATAGATACTCCGGTTTTAATTTTTAGTTAATTTTATATGAAGTTTCAAAAAAAGTTTTTATATAAACATAGAAAAAACGCAACAAAAAAGAAATAATAGTGCAATGAATTTATATCACATATCATAATAAACTTCAACTCGCGAAAATCGCTCTGGTTTAACAAAGATAAAACTTTCGTCACAACGAATATCTTCTGAATACCAAAGAGTTTCTGCGAATTAGTAAAGTTCGCGCAAACTGCATGACGCCGTTGTCTTCGCGATTTTCCTTAACTCGTTTCGTCGCGGGAACAGTTTCACGTGCACATTTATAATGCAAATAG